TTAAAGGAATTACACAAAAAAAAAACTTTTAAATAGTTAATTTGATAGTAATATTGATATATTTATTTTCGAAATTTTATGATATCTTCTAACTTATATCTTATTTAAAAATAAAAACATTATTCTTTTTTCAAAACCACATAAACACCATATTAAAACATCTACAAAAACGAAATAAAACGAAACATTAAAATAGATATATATCTCGTTACATTACACGTACCCTTCTAGTAATGCTAATGTGTCAATTTATGTTTGATATGACTTTTTATTACTCATTTAATTATGTATATCATGATTATTCTTATATTACTTTAACATTTGAATAGCTTATATTAAACTAAGGGGTCATTTATTAAATGCTTACCTAGTCATTTACCTTAATGGATGCACATGACAAGTATCTAGAATCTTAATAGGTAAGAGTAATGACAAAGACCAATAGTTTTATCCTATAAATGAGGGTGGCATCATTTACCCGGATAAATTGTTGCATATGATGCCGTTTTGATAAATTATAATTTTATCGGGTAAAGTAAATGACATTATTGACTCTCACCAATAAGTCTTTGGGTAAACAACCTCTAAATCAGTTGAATAGGGTTTGCATTCTTTGTGAAAATGAAAAATGTGCTTAATCAAACGTCCAGCGACATGTAAGTAGTAAATACGAACTATGAATTTTTTTATGCTAATTTCCGCTTTGGTTTCTACTTAGTAAAAGATGAGTGAATAAGAAAGTGATTAGATAATCAGTTGTGGTTCATTCCGTAATACTGGACAATTTTCATGATCTGTGTTCCAAAAGAATTTATACGAGTATAATATATCTAGTTTATGCATTGTACTACTTATAGTTTTAATTGTTTTGGTGCATATTTCCATTTTATGCAATGTATGTTTATGCTTAGTTATTTACTTTTGCGTGGATTAGAAATGACTCTTCTATTGATCTATATTATCATGAACTGATTTTTTTAAAGTTTTGCTACATGCCAACATGTAACATCTCAAACTAACCATACCAGATATTGTTCGTTTTGTTCACGCACTTGGAATCATGGTTTAAAACGCATTTGATAGAGAAGGTATCAAGTCCTTTATAAGGCGACCTTTGTTTCCCTCCCCAACCAATGTGGGATCTTACAATTCACCATCTTGGGAGCCCAACGTCCTCGTTACGCATCAGTCATGTTCACGGCTCTAATACCATCTGTAACATCTTAGGCTAACCGTACCAGATATTGTCCACTTTTTCCACACATCTGGAGTCACGGTTTTAAAACGCTTCTGATAGAGGAGGTATGAAGCCCCTTATAGCTTATAAGAAGACCTTTGTTCCCCTCCCCAACCAATGTGGATCTTATACAACATGTACACGTAGGTAGGTTAAGTAAGGTATAATAGTTTCCATAACCGATCCCTTTGTCGGAAACCAGTAAATGAAGTTTGAATTGAGCAAGAGTATTTTTATGCACGATGCATAGATTAGAGAACAACAAATAGTTTATGTATTTCCATATGACCAGTTAATTTTTATACGATCAACCTTTAATTTCCAGTATTTTGTCAGCAATGTTTGTTATTTACTAACAACATGTAGTCATATAAGTTGACAATTCTCATGTATCTCATGAGGAAGTCATGTGAGCTCTAGGAAGGGGAAGGGCTTGACATTGTTCACCTAGCTAGTTCTTTGTTAGACTATTTTTTTAATTAAATATGTTAAACTAATTAACTAGTCCAATATGCATGGGATAGCTTGCTTGATATCTGTAATTCAGTTTGATAGTTTCACTATATATATATATATATATATATATGTATATATATATATATATATGTATGAGTTTGGATTGATGTAATGTTTAGGGAAAAAAAATTCAAACTTTTAGTTCAATATTGAGATTGAATGTTTAATGTTAATCCCTTTAGTATGTTTTGTAGTTATATTTCTGTAACACCTTCCTGGAGGTGTAGAAAATGTGATACAAACTAAATGTTTTAGAATATCCTATTAGAATATATCAATATAAATGAAGCTTGTATCGTTGGATCATCATTGCAAATTCAATTTCGGCCGCTCAAATTAGAGCGAAAAAGTGGGACAAATTTGTAGCATTACAAATCCCAAACAATGAACTAACCTGATAAGAATCAACGTGAAAGCAAGTCATTAGTAAACCACAACTTGAGACTTGTAAGAAATTCACAAATGTCATTTTTCTATCGATGTGGGATGGGTTTTTGAAACCTTCACCCACTTAAATGAGAGCACTTACTACACCTTTCTACCAATATGACGCGAGTTGTCACAAACTCCTAACTCTACTTAAATTATTAACGTCCTCTGAAGAATTCATTCAGCTAGAGATTGTAAAAAAGATCGGGGTTTCGATCCAAACTGCTCCCAGACGTGACCATTACGTAATCACACAAGTATCCTTATGTGGCAAAAACTCCTTAAATGTTGAGAATACGCGCATATTGAATTTCTAGTAGTAGATCCAAGATGCGTACAAACGAGATATGCAACAATAATATGTCATTATCAATGGTGACTCGTTATTTCGAATTTCCGGAAACAATCCTAAAGTGAAAGAAGACCATTTTGGTGAATGCGCTATAATGTGTTTATGTTCTCTATATCCCAAAATAAATGTCCATATTTCTATTTTAATTTATTTCAAAACATAGTGTTTCACTTTCCTATTATACTTTGGAAAAATTTATCTCTTTATTATTAAGGATAAAAAATGTATTTTAATTAATTAAAAAGTCTAATAATTACAAATTTAAAAACAATATATCATTTTTATCGAGAACATTTATTATGGAATAAAAAGAAAATACTATATTCATATATTCTATTAAATAGCAAATATATTTTATAGGAGCGTTGTGATAAAAAAAAATTAAAGTGATGTTATGGATGATGATTTCAACAGATGGACAAAAATTTCGATATGATTAAGTTATGAGAGTTGGCAAAAAGGGTGGCGTTATGATTAGCGCTTTGATTACTTTTAGTAATTGGAATTTATTTAATTAAAATAATTTATTTATTCTAGCTGGTTATATCATATGTATGAAAAAGAATATAAATTATTAAAAATATAGGGCAAATACATCTGTCCGTAGAACAAAAGTAGCTGTTCTTAATTAATTCTATTTGTAATTCTTTTATTTTTAATACCTTTGATTTTTGATCTAATGTTTTTGATGAATTTACATTTTCTAAAAATATATTTTTTAATGTGTTTGATTTGTAGGATTTGAAAAAGAATTGAATTCTATTATGTATATAAAAATAAATCATAAATAATTATAGAAAAAAAATTAAATTATCTATTATTAATTGAGTGACTTAATCATATGAGAACTCTATGTATTGTGATAACTATGAGAACTATTAGTGCAAGACATTGTTTCATATGATTTTTTCAATTAAAGCTAGAATTCAATATATTGATTAATATATATTTGTTTCACAATGTGTTTGTTTTATATGTATATTCGATTTACAGTGTGAAACTTTTTAGTTGTACTTTTTGTTTCATAAACATATAAAAATGTGAATATTGTGAAACAAATATATGTTAATCAATACACTGAATCCAACCTATAGATGAAAAAAATCATGTAAAATAGACAAGATGCACTAGTTCTCAAGGTTATCATATTTTAATGGGTTCTCAAATAAAAGTCTCCTATTAATTAATTCTTACAAAACAAATATCTTTAACATATTCTAAATATTATAAACATATTCTAAGAAATCCTGTGAAATATCAACTATCTCACTGTAAACTTCTTGAAACCTCATTAATTTGTGTTTTATTCTTTTTTTTTTTTGATGACTGCTCTTTGTTGTTTCATATGTAAAACATTATTGTTCTTTTTTTTTTTTTTTGGAAAGGACAACACTCCTGGCAAATGCATTAAAACGAAGAAACAAGCTTACAAGACAAAAGGCAAAGCCATCAGGAACAGTAAAAACAGATGACCTCCCCATACCAGACAAAAATAAGCCAAAACAAACACAAGGAAATAGAAGCAAAACACATACAAAAGAGGATCCCAAACAAATGTAACCATAGAAAAGACCAACTACCAAGCCAAACAAACCACTCCCCAGAACTAGGACTTACCATCACTAATAATACTCACAACTCTTCTTCCATGATACCTCCAAGCTAGGCGTGCCAAAACCACATCGCCAATTTCTTTAGCAATCTGAACAAAATTCCTCCTTTGATTCTGAAAGAGTCTTCAATTGCGCTCTCTCCAAACATGATGAATAGAAGTCGCAAGGGAGGGCTTATGTATAGAAGACCGAATTTTACTCCTCCCACTCGAGATGTCATGAAGAATATCGCTCCAAGTATCATCAGCCACCATCCCAGCTTCTTGTTTAACAATAGTCCAAATTTCCATGAGAAAACCACACTCAAAGAACAACTGGTTATGAGAATCCATGCAATAATGGCACATAGGACAAATCAAATCCGGAGGGTCATCCTTCCAAGCCCTCATACGGTCCTGAGTGGGAAGCCGAAGACGACAAGCAAGCCACATGCAAAATGAATGTTTAGGAATACATCCCTTAAACCATACATGCTTATGCTAATCTACCGCGTCATAAACACCATCCAAGGATCCCCAAACTTCTCGAACCGCGAATGAAACTAAAGCATTATAAGAAATCAGCCATAATACTTTATCACGGGCATCAGACTGAATTTGGGGGATATTGCAAGTTGAAAGGTTTAGAACGCTACTATTCCAATCAGGTGGCCAACAACCATCCAAATTGTTAACAACCTCCAAAATAGAAGAGTTTGCATCGAAACTACTCCTATGAATACTCCTGTAAGAAAGGATATGTGAAAGAGGGCCAATAGGGAGCCAGTTGTCCTCCCAAGCATTTGTATTACTTCCATCATCAATTTGAACAAAGAAGTGTGGCCGAATGGATTCTCTAATATCCAGTATCTTACCAAACCCAAGAAGACTTTTGGTTTTTCTGAAATAGCTAGAAATGAATATGTTGTAAACGATTTTCATGAATCCACTTGACCCAAACTGAATCTCTTCTCTGTAACAGGTCCCAAACATGCGATGTTAGTAAGGCACAATTCCAAGTAGCCAATCTTTTAATACCAAGAACCCCACACGACTTGGGCATACAAACCTCATAATAGGCTATTCAATAACGTCCCCTAGCATTTCCCCCTTGAACCCACAGGAAGTCCCGAAAAAGACCTTCAATTTCATGAATAACAAACGAAGGAATAAGGAACACCGACATCCAATAGAGTTGGAGAGAGCCCAGTACTGATTGGATGAGTTGGCATCGACCACCATAAAAAAGGAATTTAGCCTTCCAATTTTGGATACGAAATTTAACCTTCGTAACAAGGATTTCAAAATCCGCCACCTTCAACTTCAAGGGAGATAGGGAACACCAAGATAACGATAAGGAAACTTACTTTCCCTAAACGGAAGTCATTCCATAATGGCATATTTGGCATCCTCCGGGACATTGCCAAAAAATACTTCACTTTTAGCTAAACTCGGGGCAAGGCCCGATCTCTTCTTGAATTCCTGAAATGCATGTTTCATGACATCCACAGAAGCCACATCACCTCTAGTAAACACAAACAGGTCATTAGCAAAACAAAGACGAGTCAGATTCAAAGCTCTACACCCTTTATGGAAGCCAAAAGAAGGATCTTCGCGTATGTACTGCTATAAAATCAAAGTAATAAATATTGTTAAAAGATAAGGAGAGATAGGGTATCCTTGCCTTATACCCCGACCTCCTTTGAAAAAAATAGAAAAAAGCACCATTCAAAGAAATAGAATAAGAGGCGGTTTGTACCAATTCTTCTATTCATCGCACCATAACCGGGTGAAACCCAAAGCCACTGAGCATGTTCTTAAGAAAAGACCATACCGTATCATATGCTTTCTGAATATCAATTTTGAACAAACAACAAGGATGTCTAGAATGGCCCTGATACCCCGACATAAGTTCATGGGCCATCAAGATGTTATCCGAAATACGCCTCCCAGGGATGAAAGAAGATTGAGTAGAACTAACCAATTTTCCAAGAAATTCCTTCATACGAACAACAATAATTTTTCCTCGTTATACGCCCTCCGAATTTCATCATTATTGTGTTAAAACATTATTGTTCCTCGTTGCTTATATGAAATATCACTATTCTTTGTTGTTGTTTCATATATAAAACATCACTATTTTTGGTTGTCGTTGAGAAAAACATAACACTCAGACATGGATTGTCGGTTTTCTAGGTACTTGTGCTAATTAGCATTAGAGTAATAATTGTGTTAGGTACGGACACCAAAAAAGCTAAATATGGTAAGCTGATGCAATAGAAAAGTTCATGTGTGAAAAAAATCTAAAACAATCCATTTGAAAATACATATATCAACTCATGTTACAAATTATTCATATGAGTTTACATATGCATATATTCAAATGTATTTTTTTTAATAATCAACATATAAACATCCCTTGGCACATTCTTACCATATTCAACCGTCTAATTTGAATCTTTCTCTGTTTCTCTCTCTCTCTCTCTCTCTATATATATATATATATATATATAGAGAGAGAGAGAGAGGTTCATTTAAGAATTGGTAAGTATTTGAGAAGTAAAGAAGTGATCATATCCTTTCATATGGTCAAGATTCATAACAAATTGTTGCTTTGACTGGTTAAAGATTACGACTTTGAGTAGTCAAGAATTACGACTTTGATTGGTTGAGGGGTAGTTTAATAACTTTTATAAATATGTGGAAAACAAGTGCATATGTGAACCTATAGTTCATATGCGAATAAGTTAATTAGTTCATATATGAATCACACGGGTTCATATGTGAATTACACAGGTTCACATATACACTTGTTTTGCCGCCTATTTGTAAAAGTTACAAAACTACCCCTCTATCTTTCGTATACCATAGAGGAATTATTCTGTGCTTCACAGTCAAAACAACAAATTTTGACCAGATGAAAGACTATGATCACTTCTCTATTTATCAAATACTTACCACTTCTCAAATGAACTTACGATTATATATATAGGGGCCTATTCAAGGGAGAATTGACTAGTTTGTGATAACCGTGAGATCCAATCTCAACCACAAATCAATAGATAAATTAGGAAGTTTATAATTTTGGTAATTTTGAATTAAAATTTTAATGCACGGACATTTAAGGTATTTTAAAACTCTCCTATCTCCTCTCTTCTCTCTTCTCTCTCTGTCCCCCATCCTCCGGTTTCCGGCCTCCGTTTTCTAGCCACCGTCCTCCAGTGATACCTAAAAATATTGACTCTGTTAAACAAAAGATACAATGTGATACCCAAGCACATATAAGATGCATTGTGATACCACTGTGTTACATCTCCAATCGACCACACAAACGACCTCAGTGTGATACCTAAAAATATTGACTCTGTTAAACAAAAGACACAATGTGATACCCAAGCACATATAAGATGCATTGTGATACCACTGTGTTACATCTCCG